AAAAAAAAAAAAAAAAAAAAAACTGTCCAGAGAGGAGGGGGGTTGTCCTCTGAGTGGTCCCCTGGAGTTCTCTGCCACACAGAAGGCGACTGAGTTTGACGTGCATGGTTTCACTGTGCTAATGACCCCTGTTCTTTTATCAAGACATCTTTTCCTTCCTCAGCTACGTGCGAACCTAGATGCAAGTTTGGTGAGTGTGTCGGACCCAACGAGTGTAGGTGCTTTCCAGGATACACCGGGAAAACCTGCAGTCAAGGTCAGTGCAACAGCCCAGGGTCACAGGGTCCATTTATCCTTGCAGTGGGGTTTGCCGCACAGCATGGAGTGCAGGGTGAATTCGGTTTTTCTAAGTCGAATCTTTAAATTAGGGTGCTTTCACGATGAGATTTTCCCCTCTCTTCTTGAAAAATGTAAAAATTGATATGTTTTTGTCCAGATAGCTAATATAAGACCTTTTTTTCCCCTTTAAATAAATATTTTGTGGTTTGGGATCAGCCAGTTGACATGGTGGTAATGGTGGCTGGGTCCCACATGGCTGGCCAACTGTGCAGTTCAAGTCCCAGACCTGGCAGTTTGAAAAACACACTGAGTGCATGTGGGCACATGCCCTAAATCCCAAGAGAATGGACGAGAAGGGATTGCAGTGTGGTCATGCCCCTTGTGGGTGTGGGGTGGGGCGCTTTCTCACTTTTCTTCTCTCTCTTCTACCTCTCTGGCAAATGCATGCTGCCTGTAGCAAATTAAAATAATAATAACTTGTGGTTTTCTTGTAAGAAAAATTGCTATAGGGCACGTGTACTTGCCAGAGAGAGAAAGAAAGCACCCCCCTCAGGGGGTTGGCCATGCCACATCCCTCCTCCTCCATTCTTCTCTGGAGATTTTGGGCACGTGCGCACACATGCCTGGCATGTTTTTCAAATCACCAGTCCAGGACTTGAATCACACAGTCGACCATGTGATATCCAACTGCCTTAACTAGCATACCACTGGCTAACCCTAATTGTGTTTTTAAAACTACCTAAGTTTGATTTTTTAAAAACCCAACAATACAAAAGAATATTTATTTAAAAGTGAGAGTATCGACCCATAATCCTTACTGTAAACATAGTTAAGTTTGTACTAGATCCCTGAAGATATTTTCTCTGATAGTACAAATAGATATTTCTCATAGACATCTTTGCATGTTGACATCTATGAACAACCCCATTCCTTTTAAGGCTGAATCCTCATCCCTAGTGTGAATTCCTTTATCATTTATGCAAAAAAACCACCGAATTTAACTATTATCATTTATGCTATCTGTCTCCAATTTTGTACCATTACCAAAAGTGCTGAATTCAACATCATTCTACACATATTCATGTGCCCTTGACTATTTTTGTAGGATAAATATCTGAAAATGGAATGGTTAGGTTGAATGATGTGCATATTTTTATTATAATTGATACATTGTTAAATGATTACTTTTGTCTTCAGCTGTTGTCTGACAGCATTAAAGAGTTTGTTTATAATATCTAGAATAGTGGTTTCCAACCTGTGTGATTTTGCTCCCCAGGAAGAGTTATGAGATAAAGTAGAGATGCCCAGTGAAACTTAAATTTCACATAAACAAGTCATTTTATGGTATATGCAGTTTCAGATATTGTATGGGGCATACATATACTTTTAAAGTATGTCATTTATCTGAAATTCAATTTACTTGGACATCCCGTGTTATTTGCTAAACCTGGGAACCTTACCCCAGGGGACATCTGGCAATGTCGGAAGACATTTGGAGGGGGACGTGAAATGGATAGAGCTCAGGATCCTGCTAAACGTTTTATAATGCACAGGACATCTGTGCAGCAAAGCATGATCAGACCCAAATGTCAAGAGTGCTGAGGCTGAGAAACCCTGCCTTAAATAGCATGGTAAATATAAATATCCCATTGGAGCTAGGGGCTGAACTTTGCTCTAGGCTCTAGGTTAGCAGTATTCGATTTGAGTGATTTTGTTCTCTAGAGCAGTGGTCCCCAACCTTCCTGGCACCGAGGACTGGCCTCAGGGAGCATAATCCCACCATGCATGGGGGGTAGGGTTTGGTCCCAGGATGACCCAAGTGTACCACATTCACCATGCCCCCTATTTCCACATCTATCATCCACCATGTACCCCATTTCCACCACTATTGCACTGCAATATATGATGAAGGATTCACACAACGATAAGGTTTGTGCTCCTGTGAGAATCCAATACCACCACTGATCTGACAGGAAGCAGACGATGGGAAGTGGCTGCAAACACAGATGAGGCCTCCCTCCCTTGCTTGCTGCCCATCCCCTACTGTGCAGGTGGGAGGTGGGGGTAAGTACAGGCCACAGACTGCACCGATCCAAGACTTGGAGGTTGGGGATCCCTGCTCTAGGGGACACCTGGCAATGTCTAGGCACAATTTTGGTTGTCACAACTGGATTTGGGGGGTGCTGTGGGTCCCCCAGGGTAGATCCTAGGGTGCTGCTAAACATCCTAGAGTGCACAGAATGGCCCCCACTATCCAATCAAAGATATGGGTAGTGCTGAGTTTGAGAAGCCTTGGCATGAAAGAATCTGCAATCAAGACCATGCACCAGTCCTATATGAAGCTGAGCGAAGAGCAGTAAACCGAGTTCAACTGTGCTGAGGAAAGGCTGCCAGGGTCCTAGAAGGGGGAGTGGAGGTTCAGAGAAGAGCCAGTGCCCACTGCCCTCTCCCATTCCCAGCCCTCCTGGGAATCCCACAGGTAGCAACAAAGGACAAACACTGAAATAGCCTTTCTTCGTGCTGCCAGCCCTGCAGTCCGAGAGAGCAATCTCTAAATCCCTGTGTCCCACCACTGGCTTAGAGGCCAGAGCCCCGAAAGTGCTTTTCAGAACTGCGTCCAACTGCTTGTGAGAGGTGCGTCAAGGCTCGTGCTCTCGTAAGTAATACTTCAGCTGTTTCCCTTGCCAGAGGTTTACACCAGGAAACTTGTTTTTCCATATGTTTTGGATTCTGTACCAAAATACCTTCTCAAGATACTTGGAAAAGAGGAGGTATTTTTTATGCTACTTTTCAAGTCCTGGTAAAACATTCATGCCAAGGGAGTTGTCCAGTTGGCTCAAGTTAGGGGACTGTCTGTCTCTCCCGCCCAACCTCCCTGCCCCAGGGCAGCCTGATCAAGGTCTACGTATGTCGATTCATAGCTACAGGTCTCGGCCCTCAACAGATGTCTTTCCTAAAAAGAAAAAAATAAAATGACTTCTTCCAAGAGACAAGTGAGTCACCTCCTGGTTAGGGCCAAGTGATAGGGTATTCCTGGGTTTCCCATTATGCCCGATCAGCGCTTTCAGCCACCCCCTTGATGGTTAGGGTCTCTGAGGGCACAGGCAATAAAGGAGGTTTCAAATGTCCAGCAAGGGTGTGGAAAATCCCCATACAAGGACCTCTTCAGAGGCGAAAGCAACCACGTCTTTATTTTCCAGGCCACGCTTTGCCTGTTGCCATGCTGAATCTGCATCTTGCAAGGAACGTAGCTGGTTTTCTCCCCTCCCTATCTTCTTTGGGGGAGTTGAGATATGAGGCCCACATCACCACATTTCCAAAGATGCAGTCTTCTACCCGAGATCTCTTGTAAAGTTTGATTTTCCTTCGGTATCATTTCTATTTTAATAAAAACACTTTTTTAGGCTTACTTTATATTTTTAGAAAGCATAGAAAAGAAAGTCACCCTCAATCTTACCCTCGGAAGGTAGCCCTTAGTAGCAGTTAAAGCATACCTTCCCAGCTTTTGTTCCTTATGCGTATTTAATTACGTGTGAATACATTTAGGGTCAATCGGCACACTTCTGTAACCTTCTTTTATCACTTAACAACATCCTGTGGACATCTTCATGTGAGACTAAATGTTGTCCTCCAACCTCACCACCAGTAGCTCCCTCACGGTGCTCCCGCTCCCACTCGGACGGTCAGTTCAGGACCACCCAAAACAGTAACTGAAAAGAGACTGTGCTGTCAGCATCTATCATAGGCTGCTCGGGATGACGTTCAAGGCAGAAATAGGGCTGACCCCTTAGCCTAGTGGGTAAGGGGACTGAATCCCATGTGGCTGGACCACAGTTTGAATCCTGGACCTAGTGGCTCAAAAAATATACTTGCCCCAAATCCTGACAGGATGGAGAAGGGATTGCAGTGGGACCACCCCATCGAGGAGTGCTTCCTCCCTCTCTGTTTCTCTGTCTCTCTCTGGTAAGCACGCATGCCCTCTGGCCATTAAAAATAAATAAATAAATAAAGGCAGAAATATCTAAATTGTAGATATCTTCCTTTTTAGTCAACTGGTATACACATAGAACTGTGCATATATCAAAAACGTGCAACTCAATTAAGTTTTACAAATACCCGTGTTACCAATATCCAAATCAAAAAATGGAAACTGGCCCCTCAGAAGACTCTGTAGGCCCCTTCTAGTCACGACTATCCCCAACTAGAGCACCGTATCCTGACCGTGTGTATCTCTGGTTGTGCTGTCTTTCCTTTGTATACATGGAGTCCTACAGCATAGTATGGACTCCTTCCGGTCAATATCACATGTGTGGCTCCTCCTCTGCCGCCTACAGTGCTCATGTGTTCAGTCTCACTGCCAAACCATATTCCATTTTTCCGCTGATGGGAGGTATTTGGATTTGTTCCAGTTTGTGGCTGTTAAGAACAGTGCTATTGAGACCAGCAGTTAGCGCAATGGCTAGGTTGCTGAACTCCCACGTAGTCAACCGCGGTTCAAGTCCCAGTCCTGGTGGCCTAAAACTTATGCCAGGCACATGTGCGTGCATGCCCAAGATGTCGAGAGGAGAATGGAGGAGAAAGGATTGCGGCATGGCCTTCCCCCCTGGGGGGTAATTTCTCACTTTCTGTCTCTCCATCTCTCTCTCTCTTTCTGGCTAGTGCACACGCCCTATAGCAAAAACCTCTCCAAAAAAAAAAATAGTGCTATTATGATTATCTCCACATGTGTTTTCTTGGTGAGCACAGTTCACATTTCTGTTGTTCCCAGGACTGGAATTGCTAGGTCACGGGTATGTCTATATCTGGCTTTAGTACACGCTGCCAGTTTTCCTAAGCGTTCGTACCACTTGACATTCTTTCCAGTGGCGTCTGCTCTCCACGTCGTCAGCCATCTTCCAAAATGGAATTTTACCGTCAGAGAGGACAGTGAGCAGTAGGGTCCTTCCCAAGAGCAGGGTCTTGTATCCCCATCAGGGTGTTTTCCGATTCAGTTCACCTTTGTGTATTTTCTAACTGCCCGGCAGATGTGAATGAGTGCGGAGTAACACCCCGGCCGTGTCAGCACAGGTGTGTGAATACGCATGGCAGCTACAAGTGCTTTTGTCTCAGCGGCCACATGCTCCTGCCAGATGCCACGTGCGCCAGTAAGTGTCAACAGCTGGGCTGCTCTGGCCAATGTTCGAGGCCTAGCTTTTTTCATTGAAGGCTTGTGAAACAGCTAACTTAACTGGTATTATCTGTTGAAGATATTTTATAGTTTTAGCAACTGGACTAGGGAGAAATGTTCACATGTCGAAATATTCACTTTGTAAGCTAAATAATGTGACTGAATGTATAAAAGAAAATGAAATGAAAAAATGTAAATGAAAAAAAAAATGAAGGCTTTAATATGGCCCCAGGCTAACACACCTCTAGGCACTCACTTTTTCTAAAATCCACACTGAAATCCACATCACATGACACTGACCATGTTCACAGTTTCAGAGAGGACAATTCAGTGCCACTGAATACAGCCATCACCACCATCAAGTTCCAGAGCATCTTCATCACCCCAAAAGGGAACTGTCCCCAGCAGCAGTTGCTCCCCACTCTTCACTGCCCCCTGGAAACCACTAATTTGCTTTCTGTCTCTCTGGATTCACCGATTCTGGACCTTACTTCATCAATGAAAAGACTAACTGTGGAGAAAAATAAGTAATGTATCTATCGATATGTATGAAGAATCTCCAACAGTTCATGGAGAATGCCTATTAGTTACACATATGCATGGATTTCCAATTGCTTTGCACCAAGATAAACTCAAACTTTAATTCCGCGTCTTCTCCAAACTCTCCGAAGTCCTTTTGTATATGCAAGAACATTGGGTTTCTTCATAAAAATAAGCATGCTGGGGACCAGCAGTTAGCGTAATGGCTATGTCACTGGACTCCCACGTAGTTGACCGCGGTTCGCGTCCTGGACCCGGTGGCTTAAACTCACACCGGGCTCGTGTGCATGCATGCCCAAGATCCCGAGAGGAGAATGGAGGAGAAGGGATTGTGGTGTGGCCATCCCCCCTGGGGGGTGATTTCTTGCTTTCTGTCTCTCTGTCTCTGTCTGGGGAGCACACGCACCCTATAGCAAAAACCTCTCCAAAAAAAATAAATAAATACAAATAAGCATGCTGAACGAAAGCAGCATATTGTTTTAGGGAGGTGAAACATTTCAATTCCATCTCCGGATGTCAGTTTTCCCACCGACTACCTTTCTCACGCCCCTTGCCCCACTCCCAAAGATTAGTGGCTCCCTGGAAATACATCCCCAATTACATTCCTGAAAAGAAAAGCCTTTCTGTGATAAAGAAACACTCATGCCCTGTGGGAGGGGGAGTCTATATCCATTCATGTATTGAGAGGGAAGGCTTTTCAGGTTTTATGTTGCAGCTGAAAGGCAAATGCACCCCCCTGGCCTGCCTGCCCTCTGCCCCCACCTCTCCCCATCTCTCTCTTCCACCCTGCAGCAAACCCGGAGCCTGCGCCTCCAGCCAGCTTCCCCTGGTTGCAGTCACACGGACTCCGCAGCCCATCCCGGGCTTTCCCAAGGTTATAAAATCTTGTCTTGTGCATGGCTCATTGCTCCCTGGCTCCTCCGTGTCCAGTCCTTCCTTGGCGAAGTGCCCAACACCACCATTTACTTAGCTCCTCCGTTAGCAAGTAAGCCTAAAAAGATAAAGCAGGCATTCAGAGGGTCTTTTGGAAAAAAATTTAAAAAGACATCTTTACATAAATTAAACAGAAGGCCACATGTAACAAATGCATAACTTAATGAATGCTTTTAAGACAAGCACCCTCGTAACCACCACCAAATAGAACTCTGCCCGACCTCTGCCCCCAAACCCGCCTCAAAGACGACCGCTATCTGGGCTTTTACAGTAGTCACTGACAATTTTTAAAAAGATATATGCTAATGGATGTTCCCAAAACATTCCATGAAAGCCCAGGCAGTGCCAAGAAAGATATCTCTCTGCAAATGGGAAAACAGAATTAGGTTAGTTGGGAAGATTAATTTTAAACGAAACAACTGAAGGGTAAAGAAAAGACGAGAGTAAGATAAGCATCAGTCGGTGTTTACTGCATGACTTGGCTCTCTGTCCCTGTACCCTCTTTCCATTTCTGTATATCGGGGTTACCTGTGCCTCCCTGTTTATAGCTTGGGATGCCCATGTAGCCCTCGACGTCTCTCCTGGATCCTGATTTGATGCCCCCCGGTCCTTGTCTCCTTGGTCCAGCTGGGTGATGGCTGTTATAGAGGGGGCGGATGGAGGGAGTAGATGCTCCCCTGTTCACACTGAGCTGGAACCATGTGAGACTTTAGCCCCCACGCATTTATGACCTACTCATGTTGGACCACGACTAAGGAAACACATGTTTGTGAAATGGGTTGCGTTCAGCAACAAGTGACTTGAAAGAATCATCTCATTTACTAAAAAGCTGGAGGTAAGCAGTTCCAGAGCAGCTCAGTAATGATGGCGTCTTTGTCATCCTCAGAATATTTCATTGTATGCTCATGCTTGTGGCCTCATTGTCACAATACAGTTGTCCCAGCTCCAGCCATCACACATATATTGAAGATAGGCAAAACTAAGGGTGTAGGGGTTATGCCAAGGAACCAACACCTCTTTTGTGCATGGCACTTTTAACACAGCAACATCATTTTCAGAAGTCCCCCGCCCTCCAGTGGATTTATCTTTATATCTCTCTGGTCGTACTGGGTCACATGGCCACTCCTGGCTGCAAGGGAAGCTGGGAAAAGATAAGTATGTGGCTTTCAAGTCTCAAAGGGGAAAATGACGGGGCCAGCAGGTGGCATGGTGGTTAGGGGCACTGGACTCCCACTGCAGTTCGAGTCCTGGACCTGGTGGCTTGCTTTCTCACCTTTCCCTCTCTCACTCTGTCCCTCTCTGGTCAAATGAAAATAAATTAATTAATAAATTAAGTTCTTCCCCCCCCCCAAAAAAAAGGTGAAGGTAGCAAGAGAAAAGGGGATCTAGAGTGGCTTTCGGGCAGTTGATCAACTGTATCTTACACATGATTTAATGTAGGCACCTGAAAGACCAAGTCTTGTGACTCAAGGGACTCTCACGAGGCTGGTCATGCATGGAGCGATCTCTAGAGTGGGTTCTTGTGCCTTCCTTCCTCAAGTTGGTAGTCTATTGATACATCAGTGGGTGCATTTCAACCCATGGGGACCGGCCAGGTGACGTAGAGGAGTGACTGGAGCTCACACAAGAGGAGAGAGACACAGTGTTTGGCAAATGAGGGGTGCACTGACCAGCAAAACAGGCCCTGGGTGGGATTCGGCCCAGGGACCCCCAAGACACCACCCCTGCCCGAATTCCTTTTGGCTGTCCACTTGGGACCCAGGCACTATAGCATTCCATAAACTGCATTTAACGTCCGAGAATTCGGAGATGGTTTCTCAGCAAGCTTAGCATCTCAGGAGGGAAAGGCTAATCCTTGTCTCCTTTCCAGCCTCCAGGACGTGTGCCATGACAAGCTGCCAGTACGGCTGGGAGGACACAGCGGAAGGGCCGCGGTGTCTGTGTCCATCCTCAGGACTTCGCCTGGCCCCAAACGGAAGAGTCTGTCTAGGTAGAGCAGCAGGACTCACTTCCACGTCCCTTCCTCCTTCCCCGACTGCCCCTTTACTCAGTTTCTCCTTTTCCTTCGACACCATCAGCTGCTGACTAGACTTGGCAAATTCTTAAAAGTACAGATTTACATGTACTTCTGAGATGACGTTTGTAGTCACGTATGAGCTAGATAGACTTTGGGGTGCTCCAAGGAACATTTCTCCATTATTTTGAATTGCGTAATGCCATAGTGGAAAGAGGATAAAGATAACTATTTTGGTGTATTTACCCTGCACATTTTACTTCAACTACCATCCAGCAGAAACCCCACTACTTACACACAGTCGTTCAGTGAGGAAGAGCCTCAGGGCCATTGGGCTTTATTAGGGGTTCTACCTGACATTTTATTGAAGAAAAAAATCTATTTACTTTTGTGTGGCCATACAATTATTTAAAATAGTGTATACCGAAACCAGCATATGGCATAATGGTTACATCGCTGGACTCCCACGTAGTCGACTGCAGTTCAAGTCCTGGACCTGGTGGCTTGAAACTCATGCTGTGTGTGTGTGTGTGTGTGTGTGTGTGTGTGTGCGTGCCCCCAAGGTCCCAAGAGGAGAATGGAAGAGAAGGCAGTATGGCCATCCCCTCTGGGGGGTGATTTCTTGCTTTCTGTCTCTCTGTCTCTGTCTCTCCAGTGAGCTCATGCACTGTAAAGCAAAAAAATCTCTCTTCAAAAAAAAAAAGAGTAGGGACCAGCAGTTAGCATAATGGCTATGTTGCTGGACTCCCACGTAGTCGACCGTGGTTCGAGTACCGGACCTGGTACCTTAAACTCACGCCAGGCACGTGTGCATGCATGCCCAAGATCCTGAGAGAATGGAGGAGAAGGGATTGCGGCATGGCCATCCCCCCTTGGGGGTGATTTCTCGCTTTCTATCTCTCTGTCTCTCTCTGTCTGTCTTCACGTGCCCTATAGCAAAAACCTCTCCCCCCCAAAAAAGTATATATTTTCTACACTTTTTAAAGTTAGTAGGTAACTAGTTTCACATTGTTTCTAAAACTTGTTCTAAATTTTTTGAAATAAATATAATTAATTCAGATTGGAGAAAATAATCAGATTAAATCAATATAGATTAAAAGATATAAAGCCTTCATTTATAACTTTGAATTTAGTCAAGTCCATGGCTTAAAATGGTGACTTCTTGCTGTCTCTTGTCGTACTTCGTGTCTTAGTTTTAGTTCCAGAGATGGCGACTCTGAGCAAGTGATTGATTTGGGATGTGATCCCAGGAAACACTGGTTAAGGAGTAGAAAAGTGCCCTAGGGAAAAGGCTCCAGCCCGGGGCAAGTTCAGTGAGCAGCTTAAATGAGCTATGGACACCTCCGGGAGACTGGGGAAAGGAGCCCCTGAATTTTCCCTCTGGGGCAAGGGTGCTGGGGATTTTCTTTCTTTTTTTTTTTTTTTTTTTTTTTTTTTTTTTTTTTTTTTTTTTTTTTTGGGGCCCCTCTCCCCCCC